TATTGATGATCTCTTATGAAAAAATAGGCCAAAGTGTGCTTTGGGAACATATCTGTAACAGACCACTTAATATCTGGCTCTCAACCCTACAACTTTGGGTTTGAATATGGGCATCTCCTCAGCTGTAACATTTGTCTGACCTGTAGCAGTGAGCACCACTTAAATTCTCAAATCTCTAAGCAGTGAAAAATCCAAGTAATGGAAAGTACTTATTTTTTTGAACAGATCAATAATCTAAATATTGAACAGTTAAGAAATATGCATTTCTAAATGATTGAAATAAGAAAAATGGTCATTGATTCTCTAGCAATTCAGTTTTCCAGAGGAGAGCCACAGTTCCTTTGTATGCAGCTCTTAGGGCTTTCTAGTCGTTACGTCCATTGAATATAAAACTGTTGCATTGCAGGTTAACTTTTCTGTTGCTGTTCTTGCCTTTATATATCTCTGAGTACGTGGTCAGAAAAAAATCCTTGGGGGATCTGCGAGTTGGCTTGTGCCATAGACAGGTTAACATTTGTGGTGAAGGTGGGTGAAGTACATGCCCTGGAATATGAATGTTACTTGGAATTGCTGGCTACCTGGAGAGTTACATCACTCTGCTTTTTGGGTTGTGTGCTTTGCTACCATGGATTCAGGTAGGACTCGGTGAAACACAAACTGCTGCTCTGTGATGCTCTTTCCTAACCCTTGCTTACCTTTTTCTGGAGTTCCCGCTCCTCTGTACACATTAAGAGCTTTCCAATAGGTAATTTGAATGTAAATCTCGCTAGTAACAGCTGTTTTGTGAATTTTATTAACAAATTTAAGTGTAAGAAAAATAATTTTTGGCAAAATAGTGGACTTTGGGTTTTTTTGTTTAAACAACCAAAAGTCCAAGAGCAATTCCCCCTTTCTGAGCAGCTCCGAAACTACTTAAGATGCTGTTAGCTTTATTAGCAATTCCCAGCTGTCTCTTGTTTTCTTTCAAAGTTTTTAATCTGATTTCCTAAGATCATGTAACTACATCACCAATTTGTGTGCTGTGTCCCTATCCCTGCAACCAAGCTGAGTCCAAGGACAGAGGTTGAGGAGGTACTACTCATCTCCTCAACCTCGTACATCACAAACCCATCCTTCCCTTTCAGTCTGCTCCTGCTGGCTGGAGTTTTGTGAATTTATGAGCTGCCGAGCAGTGAGGGATGCCATCCTTTGCTGACGCGGGTTATATTTACTGAAGAGGTGGTGAGATCTTTCAGAAGTTTGGAAAAGTCTGAATTCTTGATTATTGTTCACTAGGATGGCTCAAAGGTGAAAGCAGCGGGCATCTTTAGGGAAGTAAGCAGTTCTTGAGTGTTCTGGAAAAAGCGCTATTTAAAAACTCAGGCTTGTGGTTGGAGACCTCTCAGCAGCAGCGGCAGAGCTTAGCTGCCCTTTTTGCCTTCTGAGTTCACTTAAATAATAATATATATATTATAAAATACTGCCTGCCAGCAAACATTTGAATTCAGAAGGCACAGCAGCAGGATTCTGTCGTGCTCAGCTTCTGCAGTGACACTGAACTGGACAAGAATTGTTTTAGAGTGTTTAATTTGTTATGGTATATATAAATGTTCTTTTCTATTATCTCATATATATTTCAATTAAGCCTGAATGCAGAAAAAAAGTAAAGCACTGAGCTGTCGCTGCCCAAGGGTTAGGCATGAGGCTTTTAACTATGTAAATGTCATTTCCAAGTTGAAATTGTTCTAAGTGAGTTTTCTGGAAACTGTAGAGCTGCACAAAAATTGCCGAATGATGATTTTAATGCTTATGTTTGAGGAGCAAAGCAACAAGCAAATAAACCTTCACATCACTGGTTAATGATGGAATATGCTCCGTGACTTTCCAGGAATGCTGAGGGCAGGAGCCAATGGTGGGAAGCTGGATGAGTTTATGAATTCTTGCAGAGTTTAGGAGGTGTTTGATTCCCCTCAATCCCCATTCTATTTTCGTTACCTTCACCTGGCTCTTTGGACTAATTCATCTTCTGAGCTTTCTGGAGCACCTCGCCTTGGACACACAAGTCTGCCCAGGATATTGCCAATCACTGTCAATTTCAGCTCATCAAACTCCACCAGGCAAGCCTGCTACCCAGGGTACCTGGGAGTTGTATTTTTCTCATTTAGCTTCATTTTTGGGCTCTCCATTTCCTCAGCAGATGGCATTTTTATCATGTTTTTGGAAAGTCCATATGGCCTAAAAGAGAGAGTATCTCTTTAATTGTAAAACATGACCACCTGTTCTGATTTTAATGAATGCATTGAGCATTCATCTTCATATATCTGCTTAAAAATAGCTGCTTCGATTGAATTAAAAAAAAAAAAAAAAAAAACACCTCAATTGGGCACCAACACTTTGGCTGCCGAAATAATCAATTAATAATTAAGTAGCTAATTTTAGAACCCACTGGCCTTGCCCATTCCCTCGGACTTATTGTGATGAGAGCAGACAGTGATTGATTGCCCTAGCGATGCCGAGAGGCACAGGCACTGCTGGGGCCAGATGCCAGCAGGCTTTGAGCTGTTTATTGTGATATTTAGAAGGTGAATGCAACGTCGTGTCTCTGCTCTGCAAATGAACTTGTCTTTCCTGCTCTAGTTCTTGCCTTTCCTCGTTGTTCCAGCTGCTCAAACGAAGCCCATCTGCAGGTACCCTTTTCCCTGCCCGCCCTCTGAAGGATAAAATCTGGTGCTCAAAAAGTATCCTAATGATGGCCCAACTGGAGGGGAGGTTGAAACTGTGAGCAAAAATAGGCTTGGAAGGCTTATCCACTAACTGGCTCCTAATAGAAAGCCCTGCTAGAATCATTCTGTCATTAAAATAACAATAGCTGCTTAGTGCCTGCTGGGTTTCCACACAATGGGGTAATTGGACAGTTGGATGTAAATGGTGGAGAAAACTTGCTGTGGCTGCTTGGAGTGTCTGCTTTTATAGGGCAAGGAGAGAGAGAGCCAGAAACCTCTTACCAGAGAAGTCTCTGATCCCATCTGATCCAGAGAGCAAGATGTTAGAGCCGCAGTTAGAGGAAGACAGCTTGCCTGCTTACCTTGTTTTACTGAAGGTGGTTCTGATACAGCCCTCCCATTCCTGCCACAGCCAGCAATTAGCCTGTTAATTTGGGGGAGAAGCTACCCTTGCCAGTTTGATGTCGGTCGCTGTAGCCTGATCGATGTAAATCCAGTTATCTCTCAAACCACATGGGGTTTTGAGACAGCTGGGTGGTGTTTGTCCGACTGAGAGCCCTGCTTGGAAATGCTATGCAAATACAAAAATAACTGTAGCTATTGGCGTTTAAATTCATTTCTATGTAATATTTTTTGATAAACTTCCATCGGTGGGGTGTTATTTCAGTGGGAGGAGGGTCAGAGCAGTTTTCAGCTGACGTCTGGGTATCACAAGTTGCTTGGTGAGAAAGGCATCCGGCTCCGTTTCCTTGTGTGTGTGTGTGTGTGGCCTTCTCTCCCTGCACTTCCATAATAGCAGGGGATAATTAAATAAAGTTCAACATTAAAGGCTGAAAGTCAGGAAGGGAGAAGCTTATTAACCTTGTTGAGCTGGAAAAGAGCTCTGGGGGTGTTTGGGGTGTGAGTCTCGCAGGGTTTTCTGTTCTTATTTTTCTATTTTCTTGGGAATTGACATTTAGTTGGGCAGAAAATAAAATATATTGCTAATTCTGTTCCAAATCCCTTCTATTTGGTTGTGGCACTGCGGCACATCTGTGAATTAAATCTTAAGAACTAGAATCTAGGCTGTTCTCTCATTAGCAGAAATCCTAATTCTCTCGATGGCAATAAATTCAAAGGAGAGAAGTAAAAAAAAAAAAAAAAAAAAAAAAAAAAAAAAAAATGGAGGTTACCCATTAGGGAAAGCATGAGAAATTTAATCCCATTTTCCATGATGCTGTTTAAGTAGCAGAGAGACTGTGCTTTTAACCTTGGGTTCTCCAACAGTTTTCCAAGAGGGGACAGCTTGAGGAAGGAAGAAGGGGGGGTGCAGGGAATTAGAAATGGCAACTGGAGCGGCCAGGAGGGGAGCCAAGGCAGGCAGGAGAGGCAAGTGTCCTTTTAGCTGCTGGCTTGCACAGGGGCCAGATGGGGTATGCAGGGGGACACGTGTATGTGCACACACAGAATCACAGAATCTTCTAGGTTGGAAGGGACCTTAAAGATCATCTTGTCCAACCGTCAACCTAACTGACAAAAATAGACACCCACACAACAAACAAGGAGCATTATCACTAAACCATACCTCCCAGCACTACATCAACCCGTCTTTTGAACACACATGTGGATGCACCTTTTTCCCTCACTGACTCTCTGAAAGGCTGCTTGGACCCTTACAGACTGAATTTTGGGGCTGTTTTAAGAAGCCTGCTTGACATTCCTTTCCTATTCCTTTCCTGCAGTGTAGACTGTTTATCCTAGACAAGGCTTTAAGTGAGATGTGGAAGCTGCAGGCAGGACTTTTATTGTGAGCTGACTATTAGAGGTCCTATAATTAAATTCTGAGCCTTTTTTTTTTCTTTTTTTCTCATCTCCAGATCACTGTGTTCACTACTATGATCTTCGCAACACTAAGCAGCCAATCATGGTGTTCAAAGGGCATCGCAAGGCAGTCTCCTACGCAAAATTTGTGAGCGGGGAAGAAATTGTCTCTGCGTAAGTATTGCCTTTTATGTAGGCTAAAAACTTTGTGGTCCTTGCTTTCTGGCACTTCTCAGGGCCATGGTGCAAGTTCACCTGTGTGGGTGGGTGTGCGCAGTAGCTGCTGTGCTTTTGGGAAGCAGATATTTGCTTTTTCTTCTAAGACAAAAATGATAATTAATTCCTGCTGTCGCTCGGCACTCTCTGTCTTGTGGAGCTAAAATGCTAAAGAGGAATATGAAGACAACTAGATGCAGCTCCTGACTGCAAGCCCAAATTTTGGATGGATGGAGATGAGCTCTTCTTTTACTAAGTGCTGCGTGTGATGAGGATGCTCCTGACCAAAGCTCTGCTGTAGAGAAGACTGTTGGCAGAGCCGTGAGGATCGTAATGGGGAGTAAAACATTGCTGATGAGTGACAGAATTGATCAAGTGATGCTGCTACGTCTGCAGAGGAGGTTTAGCCACAGTCTGAAAGCAACTCGAGTAGGACTGACTGATGTGTTCTCTAGTAATTTATTAATCTGCTCTGTGAAGGCCCTTTTTAGGATTATACTTGGGCTAGAAAGTAGACAAGAAGTAGTTGTGTTTTGTGGTCCTAATGGTGTGCAGCTTTTTGCCAGGGTAGACCATAAGTTCTACAGAGGCCCTGAAGACACATATTCACAGAATCACAGAATCTTCTAGGTTGGAAGGGACCTTAAAGATCATCTTGTCCAACCGTCAACCTAACTGACAAAAATAGACACCCACACAACAAACAAGGAGCATCATCACTAAACCATACCTCCCAGCACTACATCAACCTGTCTTTTGAACACCTCCAGGGATGGTGCCTCAACCACCTCCCTGGGCAGCCCATTCCAATGCCTGAGAACCCTTTCAGTGAAAAAATTTTTCCTAATATCCAGCCTGAACCTCCCCTGGCGCAACTTGAGGCCATTTCCTCTTGTCCTGTCGCCTGTGACTTGGGAGAAGAGACTGACCCCCATCTCTCTACACCCTCCTTTCAGGTAGTTGTAGAGAGCAATAAGGTCTCCCCTCAGCCTCCTCTTCTGCAGGCTGAATAACCCCAGTTCCTTCAGCCTCTCCTCATAAGACTTATTCTCCAGACCCCTCACCATCTTTGTCGCCCTTCTCTGGACCCGCTCCAGCACCTCAATGTCTTTTTTATGGTAGGGGGCCCAAAACTGGACACAGTACTCAAGGTGAGGCCTCACCAGTGCCGAGTACAGGGGGACGATCACCTCTCGGTGATTCTTCAGCTTCTGTTTGGTTATGTGGCCAGATGTGGCTGCCTCAGGTCTTGGTAGGTTTTCAGTCACGTGGGATTGAGCGTGTTTGTCAGATCACGTAGTGAAAGGTTTGAATGACTGGCTACAAGTCTCTTCAGTAAACCAGAGGTGAGTCCCTCTTACACGGTGGGGAAAAGGCAAGCAACCTTGGAGGTCGCAGGGGTAATCTTTGATATCAACACACTCATCTGTTAACACCCAAGGGCAGCAGGGATGGATCACAGGGGTAGATGTAGTCCCAGAAATATGCCTGGTACCGAGCCGGTGATACCTGGGTTGGCTCTGTCCTGTGTTTTCACACAGTTTGCTCTAGAAGCCTGGCACCAAAGCAGGGCATTTTAAGGTGTATTCAGGCTGCTAGTGAGTTACTCTGAGCGGGGCTGTGTGATAGAAGATTCCCTGGTGGCTTCTGGTACTGTTTATATTTAATCAGCTCCTCTCTTATTTCCATTAATGTTATAACTCTAAGGGTGCAAATTCATACCTAGAATAGAGAAAATTGAATTTAATGCTTTGAACCAAGTCTGAGTAAGAAGAAAGTGTTTAATAGAAGCGGGAGGGGGTTGGGAATGTTTTTTCAGCCATGATCTAAGTGGAGCATCATCTATGGGATATTTTAGGACAGAATGGCCCTATCCTGCTTTAGTTGACCTTCTGAGGCAGCTTAACCTACAGTCCTGGGAGGCATATCGATAGAGCTGTTGGACTTGTACAGGCAACAACAAGAGGAGAGGACTAACTGGAAGGTTCACCTATTATTTTTTTTTTCTGCATGAACAGAAAGGAATGTCAGAGCAAGCAGATTATTTTTCATGTCTGTCTTTTGCAAATTGAGGAGAGGAGACAGCAGTAGCGATGCCCAATAATCAAGCACTGATTTCTTTTAAGAAAAAATTATATGTATATTCAGATTCTCTAGATTTCTAGCTAAAGCTGTTTTATGGATTGCATTGATTTACTTTGCCTTCTAGAGTTAGGTTTTGACCTCAAGGGTGTTCAGAACTGCCTGGTATTTAGCACAACACATTGATTGCAGTGCTGATTTACAGAGAGACAGATTTAACAGAGCAGTGCTCTATGATATTTTTTTTCGGAGAGGGTATGAAGCAAGAAGAGTGGTGTAATGCCAGCAGGATCAATGGCCTTTTCCTTTCCTTGTGGTCCAGTGGCAAACAACTTTATTCTTTTATGGCATGCTTATCTGAAGTAATGCAAACATGGCTAGAGCTTGATGGGAATTTGTTAACAATAAAAGCATTCCATTAGTAATAGACTTTAAGTGTTTTTATTTTAATGAAGAGATCTAGAATGTATGCTACTAAAATACAGAGGTTAAGTGGCTATACATACGAGGTCATCTTGATGGGTTAGCTAATAGCAGAAGCTGTCACAGGAATCTGACAGCTTGTAGACCAGGGATTAGTCTTTTACTGCTTTACCCTGCCTTCAGAAAAGTTTCATTTCCGGGCAACTCTGAAGCTTTTAAAAGCAGCGTTTTAAAAATACAACTGCCCTAACAGCACAGAAGGCACCTCCCTGTACTTGTGGGCCAAAAAAGCAGTTGTACATACCTTTTTTGCCCTTTCTGCTGCTACTGTGATGGTAAGGACAAGAGAGGGCAAGGAGGAGTGAGCAGCAGCATAGGGCAGGACGGACATGGAACAAGCATCATGCAGAGAAGCTGAATGCTCTGTTTTAGGGCCCCCCTTGGTCAAGACCTGGGATGAGGAAAGCACTCCTGCTTAAGTCACGGTATTACAGATAAAGTTCATACCTTCACTCTGATCTGACCTCATACTATTATTACAAATGAGTAACAAATCTTGCTGCAGCTCCCTTATCGCTCCTTTGTCATTCCAGCTGTCATTGAGGGGCTGAGATAAGGTTTTTGCAGTATAGCACGAGGTGCATCTCTACTCTTTTGTGCTGTATTTTTAGGTAAATGTGACATTGGTGCAGGGCTAATTTGTTATACTGTTGGTAATATTTGATGGATATTGGGTGGGGTTTTTTTTTTTTCCTTTCAGCTCTTAATATTCAGAAAGCATCAAGGTTGAGTGATGTGAATTGTAAGAGGGGAGTGTTACCTACCTCCCATTCCTCCCACCCAGGAGGCTGACAGGTCCCTCACCCAATATCTTTCAAATTTAAGATAGAAACAGCACTACCCGCTTCCTCAAGGGTGGCATCACAAGGCTCCAGTCCCACCACATCAGTGTTTCTTCACCTTCTGTGGAGTGTATTACTGGAAGTTAGTGAGTGCCACAATATCAGAGCCTGGCAATTGCTAGAGAGTAACACCTGGGAAGTGAGAGTGGCTCGTGTCCCCTCAGGTTTGCAGGAAGAAATGAATCCTATATCTCCTAGAAACCTGGGATTTTCCTATTTCAGTTGAACTCTGCCGGGCAGAGGAGGCTACCTCCATCTCCTTTCTTTTGCCAAAGGGAAAATGTTTGCTCACAGTAAATAGAAAAACATTTTGAAGGCAGGTATGTTTGTATCAGGGGGAACAATGGAAAATATCAATTTTGATTTAGTCCCAACAGAGTCTGTATATTTTTAATAATAATATTTAGCTTTGCCACCAAGGTGAAGAAAGTAGAAGTTTGAGATCTGTATCCATACAGTCTCAATTACACATGAGAAAACCACATCAATTTAATGCTAATAGCAGCTCAGAGCCCCCATAGGCTTTTATGTGCTGCTGCTTGGCATTGGGCAGGAAGAGAAGAACATGCTTTCAGCTGTAGAGGGAGGAGGCTGATTCCTACCCGAGTTCTGTAAACTCATGAATGAGAGTTGTAGGCAGCAGGAAGAAGGGAACAGATTTTGTCCATGCTGTAGAAATTTTAAAAAAAATTATAAATGTTCAGTGTGTCCTGGATCTGCAGGGATCTGGAGGGAGGCAGTGATGGCCCAAGGGCTGTACAGTCCGGTGAAGGACTCTAGGAGTCCACTAGGAGTCTAGGAGTCCACTCCTTTTTCTAGGAGAAAAGAGGAGTAATACTTGGGAGAAGTATTTTATTCAAACATGTAACATGTTTTGACAGGCTTCTAAAATAATGTGATACCTTTCTGAGCTCAAGCTGAGTTGCATATGATTGAAAGTGGGATAAATCTCTGGGAGTACACTAAGACTTCCTACATTTACGTTGCAAGTAGGGTGTTAAAGAGCAGGGTCGCAAGCGAGGATTACAGGCCATATGGCAGCAGGGGTAACTTTAGGTATTGTTTTCAGGTCAACAGACAGTCAGCTGAAGCTGTGGAACGTCGGGAAGCCTCACTGCTTGCGCTCCTTCAAGGGTCACATCAACGAGAAGAATTTCGTTGGACTCGCATCCAATGGAGACTACATCGCCTGTGGTGAGTAGAGCAGCCATCCTGACAAATGCTAAAGGGACTCTTTGGAGTTGGTGCCTCTCCAGTTCCAAAGCACACCAGCAGTTGTGTTATGTAGCTGCTTGGGCTTTTTAATAGAGGATTACTCTGGAGTTCCACCCTCCTTTCCTTCCCAGGGAATGACGTAAGGAGCCCTGACCTAAGGGGTTCTGTACTTTTCTCCTGTTTCAGATGAGTTATTCGTATGTGATGATTCAGACTTGCTGTGACCAAAAGTTAACTGCTAACGTAACCACTGTTGATATCCCATCCTTCAAGTTGGTCAGCTGATGCATCCTCATGTATCTTTCTAAGGGCAGGCAGTAGCCTGGACCACACAAGTGGTCCTGTTCTTGTCACTTGGGACAGCATGCTGCATGATGAAGCAGTAATGCCCTCATTGTGGATGGCTCCTAGAAGATAAATCATCCTGAAGCTACCCCTTTAGCAGTTTCTGGGTTTTTTTACTGCTCAAGTTGGACTGTTGAACCTCAGTAAATCCACAGGTCTTGCTGGGAAAGCAGTGACAGGCTGATTGCTGTGGGATGAGCAGGACACCTGTGCCAGCACTGAAGGGAGAACCTTTGCTTGTGTATACTCTGATCTCTGTACAGCTTGCAAGGCAGAAATTGGGATGGATTTCTAAATAAAGCCTGCACACTGTCTAGTCTCTCTTACTTAAACCTCCACAGACCAAACTGTCGTACTTGATTACAGCAAGCAAAACTGTGACAGTGCTACCTGCCTCAGAGTGGTGACACCGAGCAGGCTGGGCATAGTGCTGGTTCATGTGGTAGCGTAGATGCCCTGTTCTGCCCTAAGGAAGTTATGGGGGATGGTTGGGATCCTGTACGTTTTGCAAGTGTAATGCATACTGCAATTGTCTTGTTAAAAAAACAACCAAACAAACTGGTTCTGTTATTAAGCGTAGCGAGAGTTCGCTGTGGAGCATTCCCAGTTGACAAGGCTCCACAAGCGTGATCATAACTACAAGGAGGAAATGTCTGGTCTTGTCTTAAACAGTGAAAGAGCTAAGAAGCCCTATTTCTTTTCCTGCTACCAGCACCTAATCTTGTATTTTTTTTATTTCTAGGAAGCGAAAATAATTCCCTCTACCTATACTATAAGGGCCTCTCAAAGACACTGTTGACATTCAAGTTTGATACGGTTAAAAGTGTCCTGGACAAGGACCGGAAAGAAGATGACACGAACGAGTTTGTGAGTGCTGTATGCTGGAGAGCACTACCAGATGGGGTAAGCTTGCTGCTCTGGCGTCCCAGCCGGGTGCAAAATGAATGCCTCCTGCTTTCTCATGAAATGTTATTGCTTTGGGTTTGACTGCACTAGGAATTTCCCATTTATGGGTATTGCAGATAGGAGCGAGATGGTGAAGATCTGCAGGGTAACTGAAGTGCTGGTGGATGCTGGGGGAGAAGGGACTCTTAACTCTTCCACCTGGGTGTTTGAATTTCTCTACTTGGCATCTGAAATCCCAAAAGTGGCATTGTATGCCTGGCACTTAATGTTTTTTTTGTAGGTGCATTAGCAGGTTTGTTTTGTTGTTTTAACGAAGGCACCTGCAGATACTCACTGTGGAACCTTATCTCAATGTTCCTGTGTCGATACGGGCTCGCTCATTGAAATACAACCTCCGTGTCTAGATGGGTAGATATGTAAAGGAGGCAAGCCCAGGCTGCAGTCACCTCAATGACTGTTCCAGTGACACTTCATTCATATACATAGCATGTGTCCTGATGCTGCAGGCAGACCTGACGCAGCTTTTGCGAGAGTGGCCTTTCAGCACAAGGCTGCTCTGGAGAACAAAATGCTGCTTTTAAATTCAGAGTACTCTTGAAAACCTTGCATTTAAAAAAAAAAAAAAAATCTTGAACAAGTTATATGTACAAGGGTTTGCAGATCGGATACTTAATGGGCTTGTTGGGAAGGAAGGGAGAGGATCTCATCCTCAATACAGTCTTCCAAGTAGCTTAAGTGGAGCATTGCCTAATTGATGTCCTGAGATGCTGCTCTATTCACAAAGATAATGTTTTGGAACGGTAACATCTACCAATCTGTTCCTGTATGAAGAAAGTGCCCCCATCACTTTGATTTGGTTGTCATGGGCATAAGCTCACTTCAGATAGGCGCTTCTGAATCAAAATAAAAATAAACCCGAGCGTCTGAAACTGCACTTTAAAAGTAAAAAGTGAACGATGGGCATGAGTAAGTGATGTAGGGTCACCAGCTTCTTTCTGGCTGGGTATTTAGGAGGATTTGATATACGCAGATGTCACGTCTCAGATTGAAGAGTGGCTGTTAGAAGTTGTGTAATCTGTCTTTCTGCTGGATAAAAAATGTGCTGTAGGAACATGCGTGTCCAGAAATGCCCTTCCCTGAATTTTCTTCACTGCAGTGTTTCTGTGTCGGGTTGTCCTGCCCACTGACATCCTGCACAGCTTTTCCCCAGGCAACAAACTACATGTGAAGTCTCACCCCTTGTGTTATTTCTGTTGCCGTCCGCTCCTTTCGTATCCTCCTTATCGGCCTTTTCTCTGATTAACATGCTTTGCTCTGATAAGCCCTTCTGCCTAAGTGACTGGAAAACTTTTGAGCAGTCACCAAGGGTTGACAAGCAATTCTTCATAACTGATATGAAAAATATTGTGCAAAAATGTAATAGTTGAATCGGACCCATCAGGATTGCACCAAGTAACGTTCAGGCTTCAGTCCTTTGAGCAGCATTCAGGATACATCGCTATCCTGATCTTTTTTTTTCCTTTTTTCCATCATTCCTCTGCTCTTCCCTGGGCTGCTCCTAAATTAGCCTGTTTCTCCTGTGGCAGCCACATCACCTGGCTCTCTTCTGTGAAGAAAGCAGCAAAAAAGCTGCCTGTGATCTGAAAGCCACCGGCTGAGTGTTTTGTTTCTGTGTTTTACCTCTGCCTGGGGTGCGTGCCATTCTGCTTTACATGAGCAAGCAGCCTCGCTTGCTTTTGTCAAGAGGCCTGAGTGCTTCCTTGCACCATCTCTCCAGTCCCTCTGAGAGGAGAAGTACTCTTCACCGACGCAGCCGCATATTTCTCTCCCCTCTTGTACCCGCGCAGCGGTCCTCTCTGACCTAATTGAGACTTTGCTCATGTTCTTAGGAAATTAAATTACTGCATAGCCAAAGGTCACTTATGTCCAGAAAGTCTTGCTCAAACGATGAAACTATTTTATTCGCCATTTTAATAACATTTCTTAAATCTGGCATAAAACTTTTTCAAATGAGCTTCATATATCCAGACTTGCCTAAAAGCTGGTGTGTTTTTTAATGATACTTGGATGAGCTAGAGAAGGCCTTTTGCCTCGCGGTGCTTCCCGCATCTGTGGGACTCAGGGAACCCACAGCCTATTTCTGGCTTAATTGCAGACTTTGATCCTGGGTGAGTCACGCTCTTGCCTTAGTTTCCTAATTATAAGAGTTATTGTGCCTACCTTTCACCACTGGCAGCAATCGTGCCTGCTCCGCTGAAGGGTGGATTGAAGGAGCTCCAGCTCAGCAGCTGAACAGAGCCCAGCATGGGCTGGGAAACCTGCCCCAGAGCTGCATGAGCCTTGCTGGGCTCGTTCAAAGCCATCTCACTTGTCTCCATGCCATGGGCACTGGGCAGTAGCTTCACTTTGCTAGTTTCCAAGGGGGGGGAGATGCAGGCGCTGCGTTGTCAGCCTTTCCCCAGGGCTCCCCAGTGGAGCAGACTCTCCTCTGTTTCCCCACGGTGTTCTCTCAAGGATTGTTCTTTAATTAACCTTTCGAGATGAGATGAGTAAGTTTCAGATCTGTCAGTTATCTTGGGAAGCACGAGTACATGTACTCCTTCACTTCATGCACTTAAGTGCAAAATCTTGGATCCTAATTAAAACTTAACTAAAACTTTCAGATGAAATGTCATTGATTCTTTCTTAAATCTATTTTTATGTAATTCAGGCTTTTACTTCCTTCTGAGCCAAAGCCAAGCTGTGCCAGCAGCCCTTGCCAGAACCCAATTTTATTTATTTTTTTTCTGCATTGGTTTTCCTTTCCTTTCCTTTTTGCTAGAGCTGCCACCTTTCCAACCGCAGAGGTCCAGCAGCACCTTCTTTCCATGTGTGTCTAAGCCATAATGAGGGAGAGAAATTGTTCTCCGTAAGTGCTTATTAGCATTTTGCATCAGGCTTACTCACTTTTCAACTCGTAGTGCTCATTTCTAAACATCACCTAGCTTGGAGGCTAATAGTTTTGTTACTCCTTGGGGGAAAATTAAAAAAACCACAAGCAAACAAAAAACCTCTCGGCAGATACATCAGGAAGCAAACCTTTGATCTGCTTCTTTCAGTGCTGTGTTTTGGACAAAGGTAGATAGTCTGTTTAATACTTTTTTGAGTAGCACTTATTTATAGTTTGTGTGGAAAACCATTTCTCACTTCTCATTTTACTCTAAAAATTGATCAATATTTCAAAGCAGAGAAAGCTGCAGGACAGTTTTGGCCGAAGTGACCTGATAAACATGAGTTAGACACGTAAATGCATTTCAGAATCTTGCCTGACCAAAATACTTTTATTTCTCAAGTCAGGGATTTTTATAACATACCTGTGCCATCCTTTGTTTCTGGCACCTCGGTGAGATTTAGCCAGCTCAATTTGAAATGTGAATCTGGTCTTGAGATCGGAAAATACATTCTTCTAGTTCATTAGTACATAAGCAGATGATGCTCTTGCATATAGAGGTGCTCTTGCATAGGGGAAGGAAATTATAGCAGTGGTAGTAGCTCACCACAGCTGGGCGAGTAGAGTTGTTTTATTTGTCTTGGGAGAGTCACTCTGGTTTTCTCTAAGTACGTGGGTAGTAGCTGGAAGAGATTGGCTTGTATTTCATTTCCCCTTATGTGTCCTACGTGATGTTTTCCCCTGCCCTAAAGGGAACACCTTTCCTTTGGACCTGCTTTGCCATATTGCAGGGTTTGAGATGTGCCTCATGCAGCTGTGTTAAATAATTGCATCTCAAGTAGCCCCTTTCCCAGTCACGGTTAGTGTTTCTCAGAAAGAAGCTGTCAAAAGAGAAACCAAGGCTGAACCTGCTCCCAGGACAGCAAAAAAAGTATTACTGCTGAACAGGGAAGCAATTTGATTATGTAGATTAAGCATGGCTCAATCTATCATAATCACTGTAAAGAAGCCATTTAATTTTGTACCTGTTTGCATGAGTATTCATTACCACCGATAAGCAGGTTAGCCAGAGAAAGATTCCTCAAGCAGAAATGTCGAGGCTTTGATACCAGTGAGGAGATGCAGATAAGAACAGGAGAATGTCATGCAAATTAGCTAAGGTAAAGCTTTATGTACGTGTGTCTTTTCTTCTTTTAGAGGGGTAAAGAAGGGAAATCTATTGAGTAGAGTGCTGTAGACCTTCCCCAAGTCATCTCACTGCAGTGGGCGGGAGGGTGGTGGTACATGCTGGATGGATGCAAAGGTCTCCTGATGCTTGGGAGGAAGGTTCTCAGAGCAGCAGCATGGCAGTGCTATGAAAGCATCTTCTCTGCTCAGTGAGGTAGAGCAGAAACCTGTGTGTGTTTTCTCACCTTGTTGTTGTTCTTCAGAAGTCGTTTTAATTTAGGGGAGTCTTGAAACAATGATCTAGCCACAAGTGAGAGAAGCAGGCTCTGGGACTCCAGGCTTCAGATTTGCCTGTAGGAACTGTCATATGATGGAAGTATCTTCATAATTAGTCTTGCAGCCCTGCACTTCTCTTTGTTAATCTAAGAAGATGGAAATATTCCCTTCAAATAGGTTTTTGATGCATCTTTTCAGAAAGTGAGCTTTTCTTCCATTTATTTTTCCTTTCCTCTGAACATTCAGCTTTGTTTCTTAATGATGTCTGGCTTGAATTCTTTAAATAGGAACCTATAATTGTACCGCAATAAGCTGGTCACTTAATAGAGCTGTAATCTTGTTCACTGATGAAAAGTAGCCATCCTTTGTTTCCCAGTAGCCTAATAAATGGTACACAACGTATACAGGAGCTAGTCAGGTCTCTGATAATTTACAGTCAGCAAATTGGCTCACTTCACTGGAATTAATTTAGCCAATACAAATTATTTCGGGAAGTGATTCATTGCCATTTTAAAGCACTAATTAATTTGGATGACTTATGAGCATTAAAAGTGAAACCTCCTTTGTCATTCCCAAATAACCGAATGCTTATTCAGTGTCATTCTTAAGTAACTTGTACTGTAAC